CTGACGCAAGAGGACGACTGACTGACACAGGAAAACGATTGGCTGACGCAGGACGACTAGCTGACACGAGAGGACGACTGACTGCGCAGGAGGACGGCTGGCTGACACAGGAAGATGGCTGGCTGACACAGGAGGGACTGGCGCGCACTGGCTGCAGGGGGAACTGACAATCGGTGATCAGTCACAGTGATGATCAGAAGAGCCGATGACCAGCCAACCCGGTGATGAGCTGATCTTGATGTCACCATCGTCTGTGATGGTGACATCAAGTTCTTCTACATTTTGGTCGGGGCGAAAACTGATGATAATTTTCAGCAGCATTGGACGGCCAATGATCGCCTTACGTGCCACAACGGCCGATGGTTGGCGAAGCAATGCGATGATAAACTTTGGGCAATGAATGGGCCAGCCGTTTAAGAAATTGGACAAAAGCTGCTTGTCATGGTCCTTGACAGTCTTAGCAAACACGAAAATAAGTACGTCATTTATTATATGTTTGAAGAACACACGTTTCGCCATTAAGGTCACGAGGGAAATTCTGAGAGATAACAGTTATGTCCCAACGTTCGTGAAGATGGTTTTAAAAATGATATTATTTGCCAACTGTCTTTAACGAACTAATAGGAAATGACATCAAGATCTAATGCAGTAATCACATCGCGGTAGCCTAGTTTAGATTATGCCCTCTGCATTGCGTGGTCCGTGTTTCTATCCATCCAGCATTTCTTCCACCTCGTACCGCCATCTCTATGCCATATCGACTGTGAATAAGGCACAAGACCACTGAGAGCCACTCAGTCAAATATGCGTGTTAAGAAGTCTGCTTAAACTCATCGAGTTTTCGGCACAAACCGGTCACACACCATGGCGTAAGCGGAAGCATGTAGGCAATGCTGACATGTAGGCAAAGCATGAAGCACCAGGCAATGCTGACAATAGCTGCCCATTTACATCGTAAGCACCGGCAGCTGTCGTTACGATCGCCACACGACGGTGACCCTCGGAAGCTGCGCATGTGCCGGTCTGCGCAGCCGATTGTCACACGACGGTGGCCCTCGGAAGCCGCGCGTGTGTCGGTACGATCGCCACACGACGGTGACCCTCGGAAGCCGCGCGGGTGTCGGTACGATCACCACACGACGGTGACCCTCGGAAGCCGCGCGGGTGTCGGTACGATCGCCACACGACGGTGACCCTCGGAAGCCGCGCGGGTGTCGGTCTGCGCAGCCGCGACACCCGGGGCACGCTGCGAACGGCATGGGCCGCGACCGAGACACCGCGCCCCCTGCTGCTGCGGTCCCAACGCGAGTCGCCCCGTACGATACCAGAGCCATCTGTCGGACGGATCACGCACCTCCGCGCCTGGCCGAGCGCAGCGCCCCTCTGGGGATTCCGTCCGGCGTCGGGAGTCGCCACGAACATGTCGGTCAACCGGTTGACCTGACGACCCTGCCGACTTTTTCCAGCTGGTGTTTCAAGCGCTTCCATGTTCACGTAACTGCACGTGATGTCCCCGTCCTACTAAACTATGACCTTCTGGGTCTTTCCATGTCTTCAAACACCACCAGAACCCCAGTTTTCTTTTGGTCAACTGTCGACTGCAAAGAAACATCCATTGCAACGTCCACTGCACTGGGAATATCTCTTATAAATTTCCATGTTACATCTATTATCAACACATGCTAGGCAGCTCATCCAAGGTTGTATGGTGCGGCCGACACCGGAGAGACAGGAACACGGCCAAGCATGAGCCACTGGGTGTCCTTCTACTACTTGGAATCGGTCCACTCACCGGGCCACCACAGCGCGCCCATCGTCGAGCCGAACTACGGTTTTTCTAGCAAGATGAAGGAGCGGGTGATGGCGGCTGCGGAGCAAGAGATGCCGAGTACTAAGCTGGAGTCCGACCAACGTGGGTACTGCGCTCACAAGCTCATTGCCTTCAATAGGTGCAAGCGAGAGCGTTGGTCGTTGGCCTTCAAATGCGCTCATGAAAAGCGCGAGCTGACCAACCGCGAACACGACTACAGGCTGCGGCTGCGCGAGCGCGAGCGTCGCCTGCTGCAGCAGAAGAAGCGGCTGGAGGAGAGCGAGCAAAACCTGCCCGCCAAGGAGCAGGCCGCTGGACGTCCGGACCTGTAGCCGCACTCTGCCAACCTCTAAATACACTGTGTGTGTAAATATAGATATGTGGGACATGGGACGTGGGTAACAAAAACAACAACAACAAGAACAAAATGCATGCAAGCTAGATAGCTCACCTTGTGCAGTGCCAAGCCGACCATGCAAACACCTCAGACATTGCGGTTCTATCATCTTGTGGATCGGTGTGTATGATTCGGCATTAAATGAAATCTTTTTCGTCGCAGATAACGTAAATCGTACCGAATGTCATCCAGAGAATCAACAAATGGAGCCGAATCGAAATCCAATTTGGGCTAGCACGGCATCGATTCCGGAATCCGAGTAGATTTCGCAGGAGCCAAGCACATGCCTCTCTGACAAGCTTGAAAGCCAGCTGATTGTCAGACATGAGCCCTTGGGCGTGACAGGGCCGATCACGTAGCCGATCTCCGGCCCAACGCGGCTTGAGTGCAGGTACCGAGGGCCAAACGCAGACAGAGGCCCACCTGCGGTACGACCCGCGCTAGTTTTGCTCGGAAACGCTGTATCAATCCGTAACGTCCAGCCCACCCTAGGCAGGCTTCGACAAGCCGCCGTTGCGTGCACCTTGTTCTGCTCTGCTTCGGGGCACACAGTGGCGGCAGCACTTGCCCGAGCGACAGAAGGACGTAGCTGGCCGAATGGTTAGGGCCACCCTGTTCCTCGTCAGTGAGCGGTCTTGGATCCCAGCTGCCATGAGCTCTGGGCGTCAATGTGCAATAGCGGCCAGGCGCACGGCGTGTTCTACCACAAAACACTGCCAGCGCGATGGAAGCAGCCTCCAAGCTACCGATAGTGGAGCGACGCACTGCGCTCTTTGCGGGTGTGAACGGAAACCCTAGCGTCCATTGCAGGTAGTAGCGCAGGCAGGGGTGGGGGGGGGGGGGGGGGGGAGCACGTGTCTCCCCCCTTGGTGTTCTGAGGAGGATCACTCGGAACCGACGATTAAGGTCTGATTTGAGGGCTAGAAGGCCCGAAAGGCCGGCCAGAGGTCGTATTTAGGGAATCCGGCTCGCTTGGCACTCCAATGCCAGCCAGAGAGTCCTCTGCACCGATCAGGGCTCCAAGAGTCGATAAGGGCCCATGTATCGGTCAGACAACACCAGTACCGCGCAGTCGACTCCGTGTCGGCATGGGCCTGGAGACCCATTTCCCAAGCAGGGACAGAGCCGAGACGAGTGATTTACGCTGCTCGAGGCTCCAGCGTCTGCCAGGGGTCTACAGCGCCTAACAGAGGGTTCTGTGTCGGCAAGAGACCCCGAGTCGGCCAGAGGCAGTGCTCGAGGAAGCCGGAAGAGAGCCTGGAGAGCCCACCGGGACCATCGATCAAGGGCAGATTGGAGGGCCTATGGGCACGAAAAGGCCAGTCGGAGTCTTTTCTCGCGTCCAAGGTCTGCGGAGACGGGCCTCAGATAACAGTGGAATGGTCCCTTGCACTGATCAGGGAGCCCTGAGTCGATAAAGGCCTGCATGTCAGCCCGGCAATACCAGAACTGCGCGGGTTAGAAGGCCCACCGTGTCAGGGAGGGGACCATTTTGATATGATGCATCTATCTATGCGCCTCCGGATCGACCAGGGGACCCCACCACGTATCGCCAGAGTGGCAGCAAAAAGACACCCTGCACCGGTGCGAAATGACCCTTCAGCCCTTGACCGGTAGCCATGATGTGCTTCCTAGTGCTCTACCCAATGGGTCCCTTTCCCGAAACAAAGTTAATTTTGAATGAAGCAGGTCGAAAGGAAATACAAAAGACCGGCCCATGTTTACCCGAGAACGTTGCTTTTTTGCGGAATAAAATAGCGAAACAAATTACATCATAAAGGTTTGCAACAGACAGATTGAACAGATTGAAGAAACAGCGATGACCGGGGTTACAGTTTCCGCAAAACTGAGCGGCTTGGTCACTGCAAGTAACAATAAGATGCGGGTGCCGTGCGCGCGAGAGCCACCGTCGTTCAGCCTTTTCTGTTGTGAAAGCTTTCGAAAGCCTTTCAAAATAAATAATACCATACACAGATTAGACAAGGGTGAGCCCTTTTCAGTTTTGAGGCTGTGTTCTGAACGGATTAACACTTACAGCAACACGGAAAATCGAAATCCTGTTTCATCTTTTCCTCATCGACCAGTTCACCACCATTTACTATTAGCCATGGGACCGACGCCAAATGGCCAATGGAGACTGCAACGCCGGGCGTCGAGTTTACGAGCGTATATGTTCAAAACTACGTTACTTATTTGTTCTCACTTCTTGACTTTGGCTGAACGTTGGAAATATTCCAGGCGAACATAGATTGGCTACGCTTTTACAAATGTTTGGCCCATTTTGATATAGGTAGGACTCCTACAATCTACGTCCACGGGGTCCTCAATGTCTGTAGAACCCAAATCAGAATCCGACAAAAATTCTGAGTTCTATCGGTTTAGAAAAAGCTCAATTAACTATTGTAAAATGACAAGCATTGGAGCTTCCTTCTATGCAGCCGTTTCACATCTGATTTCTTCAGTTTGTTGTCTTCGAACTTCAAATGAATTGATCTCGCAGTAGCTTCTGGCCTCTGTCCCAGTTCTAGAAGACAGGAATTATGATAAACCAAAGAAAACCGTGTACCTATTTAACAAGTGGGCTACAACCATCGCTTTTTTAGTACGAGCCTTTGTCGATTAGAAGGCCTTTTCTCAATGCTGTGCCCAGCCCTTCTCGTCCCTGGAAGCATTCCAGCCTTTTCTGATGACGTCATTAATCAGCTGCTTTGTGACGCATGCAAGCCATTAAAGCCATCAACCCTGCGCTGCCTGTAACCGCGACAAATTCGCCGCTGCATTCGCTGCGTGGTAGGGGTGGTGGGTATGTGTGTCGTTTGTTTGGACTACGGAAATTTGGTTTTCGCAAAGGTAATGTAGCATTGATAGAGATACCCAAGTAATCACAGCAACATGCTATAAATTTCTCATCGGGTCACGAACTTCACCTTTTTCTGCACATTATTTGACGCTCACAACTTCGGATTGTAATTGGCTCTGAGATGCCACCCAGCCCATATTATGTCACTCCCATCCCGGACAACCAGTTTGCGAAACACCGATGCCGTAATTTTTGCTGAATAAACTCAGGCCGCTGACAGAGTGGCTTGTATGAAATGACTCAGTTATAGAATTCTGGCATGCGCACCCACCTGGCTCACACAGTCCTTACAGTGTTTCAGAATTTCACACTAAGTTGCAAAATGGTGACCTTGACACAATCCTTATAGACAACGCCATATAGCACAAGTTAACACCAAACCTTTTTGGTTCCATTGTGCAAGGACTTCAAATGAAACAATAACTTGGCATACTTTGGTATTCAGGAAGATCTGATCCTGTAAATAGTGATCTCTGGCTTGTTCTAAGAACTAATATTGGAGAACTGCCTTTTAGGCACTGTGTGCCTGGTGGAGCCATATATCAACTCTTTGATATAATTGGATTGGATGATTTTGCATGATATGCACATATTGTTTGCCATGATTGGCAGTAACTGGCTGAAAAAGTTTCTGCCAGTCAGTTTTGGGTGGTTAAAAAATTATGGCAAGCCAGAATGCAACAAAGTGTGTTCATTGTAACTCTAAGATAACAAGACAAACTGTGTGCTTAACATTGCTGATGTTAGTATCATATTTCTGTTAGATGTTATTCAGCAGATGCATGAAATGGACTGCTCTTTACATCATTCAAGTCTGGGAATTCTGTAGTGTAGCTAGCCTGGTAGGTGACAGGTGGTCTATTTATGCTTATTTATGCTATCCTGTAGTATGCTAACATGAAATATATACTTGTTATAAGTCCCTGAAATCGATTTCTTGGAAAGCTGATGCATTTTACAAAAGCTATACCAATGTGTGTTAACTGTTGTGATGTGGGATGTCCATATAATAATGCAAATATAGTTTGTAGCATTTTCAAATGCCACATATTGATTTTGTCCCAGACAAAAGTACATAATGCAATGATATGATTGCAAGGCAAGCTCCAAAACATGTTCTAAACTGGGCCTAAAGACAGGTAGCCAAGCAGGCCCAGCTTGCATGCAGGGCTCGGACAGATTTATGTGCTATAAATGTTAACAAAAGTTTATTTGCACTATGTTATGCATCTCAGTAGCTGGAAAATGATAAGGTCCTGCCTCTTGGCAGTATTGCATTAAAACTGATTGTCAGAAACAGTGCATGGCCAGTGGTTGCAGGGTGTGGTTGCTGATGCTACTCTCTATATTCTTTGCTATGAGCTCATTATTTTTTAATAGAAACACTGCACATGTTTTGTGTTGCCAACCCAAGTTTAGATAACTCTGTCTCCCTTAGCTTGATATGTTCTTTTTGAAGTTAATATGTGATAACTACATCTTTAACTAAGCCTCTTATGTGAGGGCCTCCTATCAACTTCTCTCATATGCAGTGGCGCATGCATCCACATTAATAATGTAAACAAATGCTATTTCACCAATCACATTAATTATCTAAAAGGGCATTGTTTATCAAAATAGGGATACCCTGGACAGCACCGGGTATGCACAACGTTTAGCACATCTGCATCATAATGAGAAAGCGTGAAACTTACTGGGCAAACATAGAGTGGTTGTTGAACTGCATGCCATGTGCACCGTAGATTACAGTGCTGCTGTGTCTGTTCCACACTGTAGATTACAGTGCTGCTGTGTCTGTTCCACACCATAGATTACAGTGCTGCTGTGTCTGTTCCACACTGTAGATTACAGTGCTGCTGTGTCTGTTCCACACTGTAGATTACAGTGCTGCTGTGTCTGTTCCACACTGTAGATTACAGTGCTGCTGTGTCTGTTCCACACCGTAGATTACAGTGCTGCTGTGTCTGTTCCACACCGTAGATTACAGTGCTGCTGTGTCTGTTCCACACTGTAGATTACAGTGCTGCTGTGTCGGTTCCACACCGTAGATTACAGTGCTGCTGTGTCTGTTCCACACCGTAGATTACAGTGCTGCTGTGTCTGTTCCACACCGTAGATTACAGTGCTGCTGTGTCTGTTCCACACTGTAGATTACAGTGCTGCTGTGTCTGTTCCACACTGTAGATTACAGTGCTGCTGTGTCTGTTCCACACCGTAGATTACAGTGCTGCTGTGTCTGTTCCACACCGTAGATTACAGTGCTGCTGTGTCTGTTCCACACTGTAGATTACAGTGCTGCTGTGTCGGTTCCACACCGTAGATTACAGTGCTGCTGTGTCTGTTCCACACCGTAGATTACAGTGCTGCTGTGTCTGTTCCACACCGTAGATTACAGTGCTGCTGTGTCTGTTCCACACTGTAGATTACAGTGCTGCTGTGTCTGTTCCACACTAGATTACAGTGCTGCTGTGTCGGTTCCACACCGTAGATTACAGTGCTGCTGTGTCTGTTCCACACCGTAGATTACAGTGCTGCTGTGTCTGTTCCACACTGTAGATTACAGTGCTGCTGTGTCGGTTCCACACTGACTGCTCACGTTATTGATTTGAGGTAGAGTTCTATGGCATTCACAAAGGCCTATGAAGGACATGTATTTTGGTAACAAGGCAGTACTTTTGACCGTGTTCCACATGGATGAAATGCCATTTGTATTATGTTTTCATGCATCCATGATTCTTGTGGTTGTCTGCCCAGTGGCCACTAGTAATCTGCCTGACTTAACTCTGTCCTTGACTTGGCAAGGCTTTTTAATGTAATCATTTGCACCCAGGCTCAATGAAAGTATGGATGGTCCTGTAGTCAGCTCGCATCCCACATGGAGTCAGGCACAAGTCTTCACTTAATTCCTTGCCACCACAAAGACACCTCCTGAAGATCGTCAGACAAAATGCAAAAGTTCTTGAAATTGGCAAGAACTGTGCCAGCACCACTGGGGCTGGAACTTATTGATACTAACTGAGCTGAGACTTGCTAGCAACTGGCACTGAAATAATAGTTTGGCCAACCTTACTTAGTCTTCATGGTGATTGATTGCCATTGGTTTTGATCAGAACAACTTCAGTTTTTACAAAATGAGTAGAAACCTTACTTTCAGTTGTGTTGCAGTGGCAACACTTCTGGGTGAAGTCTGAGCAGATCATATGCCACTATTTTGTACAATTGGTGGTTTTGTGTGGCAACCCCAAGTGTGTTGCAAATATCATGGAATATTTTGAGACAAATGCTGTGCACCCTCGGTTCTTCCCTCTCTGTGACTGACGCCAGCCTGGCTTCAGCAGCTGATCACGGCGCCGGACCTGTGGCGATGAGCTGCCGGCTACGCTGACGACGGCGCAGCTGACGGCCGCGGTAACGCCGCCATGGAGTCGCACCCTAGCGACCGCCAGGTCGCCGACTACTTCGTCCACTGCGGCCTGCCCTGGAAGCTGGAGGAGCTGGACGCGCCGCTGGAGGACTTCCCCATCAAGCCGTCCCACAACTACGCCCCCATCACGGACGTCACCGTCATCTTCCCGGCCGAGGAGCCCGTGCCGTCCGGCTTCCGGTGCATCGAGAAAACGCCGACGGGTGAGGATCGGCCGCGGGCTGGTGCTGTGGGCGGGGCCGTCGGCGCGGCGGACAAACGGCTGATGTGAGAGAGGTCGCTGGCGCATGGCACAGCGTGCGTCATACAGCCGTCGTCCGGTCAAGCCGTGCGTCAGACGCCAGCGGCGGGTCAGGGTAACGTGTGGGCTGTTTCAGCTGATGTTTTCGCGGTGTGTATCATAGTGTACAAGCTGGGGCTAACGGCAGAGATTAGGGATGAATGGTGTGGGTTTTGCTCCGCCATTGTCCGTTGCAAGCAGGACCGGGAGGTGCAACAGTGCGTTCATGTTGAACATTGCCGTGAGTTCGCGCTTATGACCAGAGCCAGTATTATGACTGGGAGAAAATGGGCGTCCGCATAAACCGTCGCTGCTGCTGAACGGGGAGAAAGAATGCACGCTGCTTATGTAACTGTGGGTCAGATGGAGGAGTGCAAAATATAATTCTACAGATGGTCTATCATATCTGCCTTTACAAGATTATATTCAGCTGTTTTGGTTTTAATGGTAAAAATTGCCACAACATACTTTTGCGTGTAAGGTGTAAGCTTTTGGTTGTAAATGATCTGATTTGGTAGCTTCGGATTTGCTTGACGTGACTTGATTTGTCGGTCCGCCACAATCACCACATTGCATAATGGATTATGTACCATTCCGTTAATATCTGGAGGGCGGTCATTCGGCCAGGATGTGTCGTGACGTTTCTGTCTGCCACTGCCGGCAGGTTTGTCGGCGGACCTGAATCATGGCAGCATTCGCAGCCCGGAGGTGCTGCTTTGTTATAAACGGGGCTGGGACAAACCGCCGCTGGTGGATATCGGGTAAGAGAGTCTCCCGTTACACTAACTTCGTCATGTAACCGATAGATCGCGCCCCCAACCGCAATATAGCCAATCGATATTGCAAATCGGTGGCGTATGTGGCGTTCAGACCACCTCTTTGTGTGGTAACGTTGACCGTTACGGACGAAGATGCAGTCATGCGGAAGCAACTCGCTTGGTGATGGCTGCGGCTCGAGGAGTGATGGAGTTTCAAGTCGTCAAACACTAATCTTGACCATCCCACAAAGGCTGTAATGGCGGAATGCTCGTAACTTCTGTGAATATCGTGTCGTTCCGTCTTTTTCACTGTGATCTGGGCCTCCGTCACCAAAGTGCCCCTGAAAATGCGCCACCTTTTACCCGACGACGGCCTGGTGTACCGCGTCAAGACCGCAGCGTGCCCTCCGCCCCGTAGGGTGCTGTACGACGGCAAGGAGTACGTGATGCCCCACTCGGAGATGGTGGAGCCTCCATCTGACGGCATCCCTCCGCCCCGCAGGGTGCTGTACGACGGCAAGGAATACGTGATGCCCCACTCGGAGATGGTGGAGCCTCCATCTGACGGCACCCCTCCGCCCCGCAGGGTGCTGTACGACGGCAAGGAGTACGTGATGCCCCACTCGGAGATGGTGGAGCCTCCATCTGACGGCATCCCTCCGCCCCGCAGGGTGCTGTACGACGGCAAGGAGTACGTGATGCCCGACTCGCAGGTGGTGGAGTTCACGCCGGCCGGCCGCATCGCCAATGTGAACAACAGCACGGCGCGCACGTACATCACGTACCGGCGCGCGTCCGACTCGTCACCCTGCAACGAGCTGGTGGTCACCGACATCTGCGTGATCGTGCTCACCAAGGATGAGGTGAGCCGGCCGGGGCTCGGCGGCGGCGTGCGCCCGCCGCCCGGGCAGAGGGCCGGGGTTATGGCGGGAGGCGGTCAGTCTCCGGGAATGTCAGCTGGGTCACTGTAGGGATCAGCAACATGTTCTTTTTGCTGGGAGTAATACTCGTCATGTCGAACGTGACGTGAAGTGGGAGTACGCCTGATCTGTTTGCTGAGAGGTAGCGCGTGACGCGGAGCACCCTGGTCTTCGGTGGTTTGGTGCCCGGGGTGTGCACGCACGCCAGCAGTTGCGACAGGGGCCTTCAATGCCAGATGAATTGCTGCTGAAGGTCTAGTGCCAGGTAGAGGCCTGCTGGCTATAGTTTTTCAGCAACGAGGGAATCGCACCACGTGCATTGATGTGTTGGCTGTCACAGTACAACATACAGCCAATAATATGGCTTAGCAAGAGCCTACTGGAAAATACTGCAGAGAGTTCGTCATAAGTAGCGTGATGATTTTGCCTTCTGTTGGGTTACGCATCATGATTGTCATGAAAGTATTTGGGACTAGCAGGTTTCGGTCGCAGCTAGTTTCAGATTGCCCTGACTGTTCAACATTATTCCAGGTGCCCCCACACACATACTGCATCATCCCGAAAACGCTGAACAAGGGCATGGTCGGCTCTGACGTGTACATCTGCTACAAAAAGTCGATGCGACAACCGACGAAGGTCGTCTACAAACCTGGTAAGGGTAGCCTCCAATCACGCTGTAAACGGGGCATGTGGGATGGGAAGGTTGGGTCTATGGTACTTTAGATCGCGCCGCCGGTTAACGACTGCTGCTGAAATTTTCAATTTAGCGACGGTTTCCGACGTGAGTGGGTCGCATTTCACGGCGTGTCTGCCATTGCGCAATGCGTGCCCCTACTAGCAGAGCTGGTAATCCAGTTCACTTTCCCTGTTCTCGAGCTATGCGCGTGATAAGTATCTCACCGTGTGTCGCTTTCGGCCCCTCCACCTCCCACCCGCACCCTACAATGTCGTCACCAGTCTTGTTGGCGTCTGCTGTCAGCCCCCGTGTCACGCTCCTTTTATGCCCCGCCGTCGTCTGAGCGTCGTCTCGGCTGTTTCCGCGCCTGATCCGGATCGGTGCCGTGCCGCCTGCCGGCCGGCAGGTCTGCTGAGCAGGTTCCCGCTGGAGGACCGGCCGTACTTCCCGCTGCCCGAGTCGGTGCCGCTCTTCTGCCTGCCGATGGGCGCCACCGTCGAATGCTGGCCCGCCCAGGCAGCCACACCCAAGCCTGTCTTCTCCACCTTCGTGTTCACCGTGGCTGAGGGAGCTGAGAAGGTGGGCTCGCGCAGCACGGCGGCCGGCGCGGTCGCGGCACGGCCTTGGTGGGAACACAGGACACGGACGCTGTGGCGTGCTACACGGAGCCGTGGTGTTTCACTCTCCCGCATATCGTCTCAGCATAGGCACTTGTTGACCGCTTCTGTTTTTGGCTGCGGTGTTTGTTGTTTGTCGCCGGCATTGCAGTGGTTTATTTGGGTCTAGTCTGCGTAGTGTTGTCATTGAGCTGCGCGGACCGTTTGTGTCGTCATTCCGCCGTCCCTGCCCTCGACCTATCTCTACCGCTCGTCTTTCCAGTCCCCTACGACACCACTCCTGTAATTTATACTACCGCGTAGTCGTCATACCTTAACCTGTTTTTCCGTTAACGCAGGATGTTGTTTTCATGCGCCATTTGTCTCTCGGCCACCCCTACCTTCGAGCTTTACCGTCGCTCACCGGCAGGTGTACGGCAGCTCCATCACGTTCTACGAGCGGTTCCCGGAGGACCGGCTGACGGAGCAGCAGCGGCTCCAGCTGGGCATCGACACGCACCACCCGTCCGAGATCTCGGTCAACACCAACAAGTCGATCGGCGTGCTGTCGCACTGGCCGCTGTTCGACACGTTCGAGAAGTTCCTGCAGTTCCTGCACCAGACGGCCATCTCGGGCCGCGCCACGGCCGTGCCGCTGGAGAGGTGTGTTAGCCGCCGCCCTGCTCGGTGACCGGGCCCGCCGCCGGCAGCTCGGGGACCGGGCTGACTGACGGGGTCAGGCTGGGGACGGCCGGCCCGCAGCTAACACTGGCTGCTGAGAAGGCCGTGATTTAGCCCGGAGAGCGAGGCAGAAAACATCTGTCCAAGAGATTGCCAGCTCGTGTCTAGAAAGTGTTTTTTTTATAAGTGCAGCGGTTACAGCAGAGCAATAACGCTGTCTTCGATTTCGTAACTTGTGCTAACGCACGTAACAGTAGTAAAACAATGATGTGCGGCCAATCACGCGCTGCGCTTAGAGTCTTATGGAGCTGTTTTATGCTTTTCCGGTGGATTTTTGTAAGGTCATTTTCACTATTTTGACACGCTGAAACCGTATCGTAGTGTTTTGGGTGCGCCGACGGCAGGGGTCTTTCTGCCCCCACATGTGTGAATACTGTCGACCGTCACCACCTGCGCGTCACCCCCCACACGAGCGCCGCCGGCTGCCGCCCGTGCCCGCTGACGCCGCCCCTCCCGCAGGTACATCAGCCACATGCTGCTGGAGGTGCCGTTCCCGTCAGTGGCGCGGCCGTACGTGCACGTGCAGCTGGACGGCGGGGCGCCCATGGTGGTGGCGCAGCCGCACTCGTCGCCGCTGCCCAAGAGCGGCGCCAGCTTCTGCAAGCTGCTCAAGAATCTGGGCCCCGACAACAGCCTGCTGGTGCTGCTGTTCTCGCTCACCGAGCAGAAGCTGCTGCTGCACAGCCTGCGGCCGGACGTGCTCACGCGCGTGGCCGAGGCCGTCTCCTTGGTGAGCACCTGCCGCGCCGGGCGGGGATATTTTGGGGCGGGGGAAGGGCAATGCTAGCTGACGCGCTGGTAAGGTGGGGACCGCGTGGGCTAGAACCTCGTGCCCACTGGGGGCGACGGTACGGAATGTGTTATTGGTCTTCACGTAGCATACATGTATCTGTGTGTGCAGCAATGTCGTATAACGTGGGCAGGCGTGCCGTGGTGTTTCCACATTTTAAGACGTCATAAAGCTGACGGGTTGCACGTTCGCCACCGTTCATTGTCAGCAGCAGTGACTAAATATTCAAACGTTTTTGAAGGTTAGGTCCCTCTGGTTTCATTCGCGTGGCGTTCGCACGTTATCGTCATGATATGGTCGTCTGCAGTGTCGTTACTTTGGCATGGTCAGTCAGTGGCGGCACATGTCCAGCGCCTTGCGGCGTGCGGCGTCGGGGGGGGGGGGGGGGGGGGGGGCGCCGCACGCTGACCGGGCTCCGTCGCTCGGCAGATGATCTTCCCGTGCGTCTGGCAATGTCCGTACATGCCGCTGTGTCCTCTGGGGCCCGCCGCACGCTGACCGGGCTCCGTCGCTCGGCAGATGATCTTCCCGTGCGTCTGGCAATGTCCGTACATCCCGCTGTGTCCGCTGGGGCTGGCCGACATCCTGTCGGCGCCGCTGCCCTTCCTGGTGGGCCTCGACAGCCGCTACTTCGACATGTACGACCCGCCGCCGGAGGTCACCTGCGTGGACCTCGACACCAACACCATCTTCATGTGAGCGAGCGCGGCGGGCAGCGGCATCATGGTACCAGGTCGCTGCGCGCGCTAACGGCGCCCTGGTGCGATGGGAAGGGGTAGATGCTGCTAGGCTTTGGCTTGGCTGTATGGTGTGGACTTGCCGATTGCTGTTGGAGTGGGTTTATTTGTTATCAGTGTAAAATTAATAGGCAAAGTAAATATGAAAGTTGCGTATTCATTAGCAGCGTTCGAAATAAGTGCGCTTTTAGAACAAACATTAAAAAATGCGAACATACTTGCTCTATAAAACGGGATCCAACTTGCCTGACATCTAGTTACCGTTGCATTTGCCGGGAGTTGCGAAATAAGTGGCATACCCTTGGATAATCGCATGGTTGCATAGGACTGTGTGGTTGATAGTGCACGCTCTGTCTCCAGCGCCGAGGAGAAGCGACACCTGGTGACGAAACTGCTGCCCAGAAAGGCCTGCAAGCAGCTGCGGCACTCCCTGGAGGCCGTGTTCGACAGACTCTACTCCATGTCCAGGAAACGGGTCAGCTCGCGGCGTCTGCAATTATACGGTGTCAAATTTTGTCCAACATGGCCACATGACAGATCCCCGCTGTGTACGCCCATTCGTTAACGGGCTTCCGGATTTAATCGTAGAAAGCGGCAGATTCCGGACCAAAAGAAACAACATGAGCCCCTGAAGTCCAGGGCACTCGAAATAGCGTCACTTGTGAGGCCTGCCTTGGGCCATATCGGGAAATGCTGCAGATTGAAACACTGCAGCAACAAAGTGAGCAAGAGGGACTGTTGAGATCGCAGTTTCTTGGCTTTGTGAGTTCTTATGCTGATAACACGCTCCTATCAATGGACCAAACAGCATTAATGGCAAACGGTGGTATCAAAGTATCGAGGGAGTCGGCAGTCTTCGCTGTTCGAAAGTGGGTCCGAATATATTTGCATTAGTCAGATATATTTGCATCTTCTTGCAGGTGAAGGGTGGCAGCCCAGAGATGGACCTGAAGGTGCAGATGATGGAGCACCAGCTGGAGATCGAGATCCAGGAGGCCTTCCTTAGGTCAGCCCGACGCCGTGGCCTACTTTGTCACAAACGATCTAGCTGTATTTTTTTTAAAAATTGTGTTGTTTACTTTACACGTGGCACATAGCATATACATTTGACAAACACTGCATGATCATTACAAAACCAATGCTATGCAATCATTACAAATGGGCGCACCAACAATCTAGTTTAATGGGAGTCCGCTGCAATTCTTTAACCCTTTCTTTCACATTGTTCTACAAGGATAAAAAGAAGTCTCAACAGCCATCTCAGACTATACAAAAAGCCCGTACAAAATACAGCTAGATGGCTGTCTTAGATCGAGGTGTATTTTATACGACCTGTAACTTTCGCTCCTATGGGCATCTTTTTGGTACCAATCGCGGGCCTGCGGTATGCTAGTTCATAGAGGTATAACTAACGTGCCAGTACAGGGGTTTCGCGTAGAAAATCTGCCGTCGAGCGCAATCTCAGTATGAGGGTCGTCAGACTATCAATCGACGTATGGGGGTACTATTCCCAGTTGCTACTCTTCCGCGCCCTGCAGCGTGGTATCCGCGTCGGAGTCCGTGGGATAGCGTGCCGGTGACTAGTTCGTCGAGTCTGACGCCAGTCGCTGCGGTGATGACAGCCGCAGTCGCGTGCCCTTGCCGCAGGTTCATGGCGAGTATCCTGCGCGGCTACCAGGCGTTCCTGAAGCCCATCAAGTCCAAGCCGACCATGGGCACCACGGACCCGAGCTCGCTCTTCGACCTGCAAGGTGAGCGCCGGTGGAACGGCGGCCGGCCGCGGGCTCGCGCTCTCCACCCGCTCACCGAGGCCGGCTCCAACCGTGCAAACGGCTTGATGTCGTGAAAGCCCGCCTCCGTGACGCTATTTTGTAAATATGCAGATGAATTACAGATTCGGCCGTCGCTGAAGTGATATTGGGTGTTCTGTCAGCTGTCATGCATGTGGCGTAAACGTGGATGTGTCCACCGAGCTCGTCATGCGTGGTGCATTTCAGGGTTCCTGAAGTCGCGAGACAAGGCGCACCACCAGTTCTACCAGATGATGATGACGACGCAGTCGTTCATCCGGTTCATCGAGGAACGCAGCTTCGTCTCTGACAAGGACGCCTACCTGGTGTTCTTCGACGAGTGTTTGGCCAAGGTATGCTCGCACACGTGCGGACGACAGATCACGCCGCAGTGTTGCTGCAGCTCTCTCCCCTTCTCCGCCACTTATAATCAACCGCAAGCGTTCCCCTGTCTAAGCTGGTAAACTTTTCACCGCTGTCTGTGTTAAGTTTTGACACACTCCACTGACTAACTAACCGACCTCCGCACCCCACGCGCTGGAGGATCCGTTGACAGTGTCCGCCAAACACGCGTGTCTGTGACGCCCCACCCATGCCGGAGTTCGCCCGCCGCCGTCTCTGCGCACGTGAGCGCCGCTCGCCGGGCTCCGGGCGCCGCCGCTGACGCCGGCCGTCTGGCGGCAGGACCTGGACTCGCCCGACTGCCGCCTGCTGGAGCCGGACAACCCGCAGAGCGAGCGCACCGTGTTCGTGCCGCCGCCGGAGCCGTTCGAGGGGCGGCAGTTCGTCTACCACGTGAGTGGCGCACGGAGGGTCGCGCCTGCGGACCGGGGAGGAGGCGGTGCACGGGCTCGCAGAAGGGCTGTGTCTGCCAGCTGTCTCACGGCGTTTGTCGGACGCGGAACTGTGTCGAGGTGTCTCCCGGTTATCGCGTATGACCATCATCACTGATGGCTATTGGAACGCCTGAACGGGCCTGCTGTTGCCTCTCCAGTGGCTATTTAGGGTTCTCTTCAACGCTGAAAATGTGGCAACGAAGCTGTTTAGTAAAATAGGGTCACATAGCAGCAAATCCCTCATGTTGCCAGCGTCCATCTGTATGAGTGTTTGTTCAGGCTACCGTCCTCATGTGGTGTGTCGATGTTTTCACAGCGCTCCCCCGCTCTATATGTGGGGACGGGACGGCCGATAGCGTGCCTTCTGCGCCATCTCCCCACACCTCGGGGCGGCCTTGACCCCCTCCCCCGCCCCGTCTGCAGGAGTTCGGTGAGCTGCACCGGGAGCTGTTCCTGGCGGCGGCTGTGCCTCAGCCGACGCCGCCGCGGCCCCGGTCGGCCGTGGCGGCCGCGGCGCCGGGCGCCGCGCCCTCGCCCCTGGTGCGGCGCACCAAACACGAGGTCATGTCGGCCCGCAAGCAGGCGCTGAAGCAGGCCGAGACGCCTGTCCTCTGGGCTCGCTACCTGGTCGGCACGTGCTTCAGGTGGGTGCTGCAGGTCGGCGCTCAGGGGCGCGGGCCGAGCTGGCAGGGACGCCGCGGTGACGGGCGGGCTGGGTGGGGCAGGCCGCTCGGCGGGGCCGGGCCGCGCAGACGGATCGGCTTCGTGTCGGAGTGGATAATGGCGCGCATACGGTGACACATGCGCGGTACGACAACGAGGCGGCCGATGCGGAGCAGTGACCGCTCAGTTGGACATTGAGTCATACCCTGGAGCATGTTTGCCGGTGTGAAGAACAGGCGCGCGTTTCAGTTCTGGCTGACGCCACTTATAGTGTGGTGTCGCGGCGATGTGTGGTGGCAGCACCGCAGCACCGAGTGTACAGGGGTGGAGGCAACGCCGCGGAAAGGGACGCCGGCGTATGGATGCAATCCGCTGGTTGATCGACGGTGGTGTCCGCTTTGCGACAGTCTGTGGTTCGTCCACCTGCCCAGCTACGTGGAGGCCTGCGACGACCGGAAGACAGCCATGGATCAGGCCTTTCAGATCATGGTCGTCATGCAGAAAATACTCCAGCAGAGTGTGGATGAGGTGAGTGGAGTGGCTTGCTGGCATGGGAAACGTGTGGTGGGGTTCGTTATGCGATTATTTGCCTTGCCTCGGAATGGGTTGAACTGTTTTGTCGGATGAATGGAAGTGGAATCAGGCATGAATTGGGTCCAGCCCGTCAATTGCGCCGTCTGGTCAGTTATTAATGTGGTTAAGACTGATGTTATTGTACAGGTTGTGACTTGCTGAAAGCATTCTGCACGCACATTTGTCAGAGCTGCAAACAAACGGTGTAATGGCATCTTGCGTTGTCCACAATTAGGTCTGTTGTTCAGGGCCACGTCGTCACACGAGTGTGGCTGGTACGTCATCAGTACGTACGGGCGATAATTCAGCCCTGTGCGCCCCCAGGTCTGCTACCGCGTGATGATGCAGCTGTGCGGTCAGCACTCGCTGCCCGTGCTGGCCGTCAAGGTGCTGTACAAGATGAAGCAGCTGGGCATCCACCCGAACGCGCTGACGTACGGCTACTACAACAAGGCGGTGCTGGAGTCGGAGTGGCCCACCGACACGCTGGCCATGGGCCGTCTGCTCTGGAGCAAACTCAGGTGCGCCGTGCCGCTCCGCCCCCTCGTGCCCTCGTGCTGCTCGTAGCAGCGGGGTAATGCCCCATCTGGGCCGGAACGGCGGACGCCACATTGGTAAAACGGCAGGTAAAACGTTGAAAAGACGTGGGCATAAAGCCAAACTTGGCGATGTCATTTGAACGCCGGCTGATTCGCTGGCATCCCGTGCAGTAGCGTGGGCTACGACTTTGTCTCGTCGTAGTCGGAGGCGTCTTGCGGCGAATGTCATCTGTGAGCAGTGCTCGTAAGTCCGTCACCCATCAGCTGAGATCCGTGTCGTGTGACGCGCGACTGCTGACCCGTGACCCGAGGTCGGTGGCACCGCAGGAATGTGGTGCTGGCGGCGGCCGAGTTCCGCGCCGGTCCGCGGCGGAGCGACAAGAAGAGCTCTCTGGCCGGCGGAGACCCGGGGGCCTCCAGCCAGTCACTTGGTCAGTGTCGGGCGCGGTCCCGCGTGCAGTACGAGGCCGACTGTGAGGTCGACCCGTCGGTCAGTTCTGCAGTACGGTGTGCTCTGTCTGGGCTTCTCTGCATCTCTTGTGTGCCGTTTGCGGATGCTCTATAGCTGGCTGGGTCCTGGTTACATTTACTGAGTTTACCTTTGCCCTGCTTCAACCCTCTTGTGTTGCCCGGTTTCAAAGGTGTGTTCGGTCTGACCACCCCCCCCCCCCTCGCAGACCTGTAGTTTGTCCAGCCCAGTCCGTCCCCCGATATATACCCGGCCTCGCCCCGCCCTGGTGCGCCCCGGTCAGCCCCCGACCTATACCCGGCCTCGGCTCCGCCCCTCCCCGGCACCCCCCGGCCAGGCCGCCACCCTCTCCCTGACCTGCGTCCGTGTCGGGCCGGTTTCAGACGCGGACCGTGTGTCGTGCTCGTCGGGCGGCAGCGGCCGGTCATTGGGCTCCCTCAGCCGGCCGGACGGCCGGACAGGTGAGCCCCGCCCCTCCCCCGCCCCGTGACCACACGGTCCGGCCGTGTCGAGCCGACCTCGGCCTGGTCGCGCGCACAGCTGGTCCGCCCTGCAGTCGGGCCCTCGGGCCCAGCACGACCGGCGGGTGGAGGCCACAGGAGCTGGTGTAGTCGCACCGGCGTCTTGCATCGCATGTTTGAATCTCGGAGCGGGCGCTGTCTCGGCGGGAGTGACGCTGAGCATGCGGTGTGTCCTATCAGATGTTCTGAATGTGTGCTTCTTTGGCAGTCACCTGCGAGTAGATGCTGAAGAAGGGCGATTAAATTTGAAAGCTTGCAGTGATTCCCAGCAATTTCGTGATTCTGTGGTTTGCTGTTTACTATCATTTGCATTTGCTTTTTGTCATTTGCACTTTCACTTTGTCATGTCACACCTGCTATTCGCACACAGCGGGCTGATGCGTGCAGCTACCAGACAGACGCGTTCACGACAGAGTATAGGTCTGAAGGTTGACGAGGAGAGCAAACACAGCCAGCCCCTGCACGGTGCAGGCCGGCCCTGACCTCTGCCCGCCTCCGCGGCAGGGCGGCCGCCGGTGGCGCGCACGCTCAACTTCGGCCGGCTGGACTTCTCCGAGTCGGACCACTTCCGCTCCCGCGTGGGCAGCATCGTCAAGAGCTCGGCCGGCGTCCGGCTGCCCGGACAGCCGCAGGCGGCCAATTGTGAGTGCCGCCCGTCACCTGCGGCCGAGCCGGGCGCGGCGCGCCGCCCGCTCGTGGCACTCCAACAGGAGGGCGCCCAGTGACGGGGAGGGGTACCCAGGGCGGGGAGGGGCGCCCAGTGACGGGGAGGGGTACCCAGCGGCGGGGAGAGTGCCCAACTGCTGGGAGGAGTACTTTGTGCTTCAGGGCCGCAGGCTTCAGGCGTCGGCCAGTCACGTGCCGTTGTACCGATGGCGTGCGAGGGAGGGCTGAGCGGCTGAGCCCACTTGGCCTGACCTAACCTGACCTGACCTGGCTTGACCCCGGCGCGCAGACGACAGTTCGGCCGGTGTTCTGATGGTGGCCTGTCCGGAGGCGGCCGTGCTGAGCGGGCCGGCGAGCGGCGGCAGCGGCGGCGGTGGCGGCGCCGGCGCGGCAGCCGGGCCACGCCACCTGCTCGACTCGCCGCATCAGGAGGAGCTGCGCGCCCGGCACCTCAGCAACGACACGCCCCAGCACCAGCAGATATCGCTGCTCAGGTCAATACCAGCGCTGAACGCCGACGTCGATGTCTGGGCGCAGATCCGGGGCATGACACGGGCCGGTCTTTAAACGGCGTTCGAGCCAGCGGCTTGGTCTGTGGGAACTGCATTTCCCCGAAGTAATTTAACATCATTTCGCATGCAAGCCATGCGGCAGTGTGCGCGAGCACCGGCTGGCGGCCCGATCTGAGGTCTCTTGAAGGTCAAGTCGATGCAGGCCGATCGTGCCATTCAAACCGGTCATGTTAAATCATATTGCATGACTTGGGTGCCGTCTCATGCCCTGTAACGGGAGCCGAGAGCTGCCGTGATCATCGCAACACTAGTTCGTACTGAAAGGTACGCATGTGACGTATTCTGGAACCTCCACTGTCGCCAACGTTCCCTGCCGTCACCAGGCCAGTGTTCGCCGCCACGCTCCGTCATAACCTGCCAACGCGACCACCTCGCAGGTCGACCAGCTTCGCCGACGACGACCAGATCCTGGCGTGCCTGCGCGAGCCGCGGACCGACGAGCTGGCGGCGGCGCTGGCGGCCGACGCCGCTGCCAGCGCCGCCGCCGCCGACCGGCGCCGCTCGGCCAGCCAGGACATCAGCCTGGAGGAGCGCGTCAACGCCTACTACGCCGGCGAGCGCTGCGAGAGCCGCGACAGCCGCGAGCGCAGCGTCGACACGCGCAGCGTCGACAGCCTGGAGCTGGCGGCCGAGGCGGTCGGCGGCGGCCTGCAGGCGCGCACGCCCGTCACCGAGAACGACCCGCTGGGCGCGCTGGGCGCCGGCGACAGCCCGCCGTCGTCGGGCCGGCTGTCGGCCGCGCTCTCGGCCACCTCCAGCCAGCCCAGCCGCAAGGCCAGCCTGTTCAAGGTGCGCCCCTGCGGTGGGGGGCCGGGCGGGCCGCTTGGGAGCTGGTGGAGGACGGTGCTTTGGGCAGTCGTGGGTCTGCTGAGTCTTTCCAGTGTTCCACATCAAGAGCAGTGGCTGCGTGGTGCGGGAAGTGCCAGGTGGCTTTTTGAAATTCCCGCGAGGTTCTAGAGCTGTCTTATTTGAGCTTACTGACACGACAGAGCGAAATTTTAGTTTACGTTACGGGCGCTACAGTGTGATCTTAGCTGAACCAAATAAGACGTTCACATGTTTCACTGACGCGGCCTTTTCCCCACAGGCCGAGCCGTTTGCCGACGGCTTCGACCGGCCGGGCGGCAGCGATGCCAGCCCGTCTTTCGGCAAAAACGGCAAGGCGTCGAGTCCGGCGAGCAGCGCTGTGACCGGCTTCCGGCTTCCGTTCAGGTGAGCCGCGCCACGTTCGTCGCCGGAGCGGCGCGCGCATGTCACGCCCTTGTCGCACGTCGAACTGCTAGAGCGCGCTTCAGTAGCTCGTGCTCGGTTGTCTTGCCTGCCTCGTCTCTCGCTTGCCGTCGGCTAGTTTTCGAGTGGTCGCACGCCGGCGTGTGCTCAGTGGTCGAGTGGTCGCACGTCGGCGCTCCCCCGTGCCCGCGTTCGCGTGGTGGCGGCCTGGGCCGGAGCCCGCGGCGTCCGCCCTCCGGGCGGACGGCCCCAGCCGTGCTGCCGCGGCCGCGTGTGGACCGCTCCCGGCTGCCCGTGCCACGCGGTCGCGAGAGCGCGGGCCGTCGCCGCCGGCTCGGACGTGTGCATGGACAGTCGTACAGGACAGACACGCACCGGACGGACGCCCGCTGTCGCGCGGCCCGGCGCCGTCTCGCTGTGCCCCAGCCACTCCAGAAATGTTCGTCCGGCGCTCAGACAATAGTCATGTCGCGTCAAAAGACTCGGGATCGAGTGTATGCCCTTTTTGCATCCGGCTTTCATTTTGCCGCCTCCTTTGCGTGGGGGAAAGATGTTGACTCTTATGTTGACTCAGTGGCCCTTAAGCCACTGGGATAGGGTAAAAATCCCAGGACATTTCGACTGGCGATGGTCCTGAGCGGGTCTACCCGGCAGGGGGCCGCCATGCGGCGCGTGAAACCCTCTACGGTTCCACCCGGCGAAAGGGATTAAGGTGAAATTGTCTAATGAACCGAACAGGCAAGACTGGGGTGGTGGGTCCAGGGTACAGGCAACAAGCTTGGCACGTGCTTAAGTAAATTGAGCCCAAAAGATTCTACTGTAAATTACTAGACACATTTCGGAGAAAAGAAAAATAGTTCCCGCGGGCTGCCTGGGTTTCTCCCGGGCCTCTGGGCAGGCGCCGCGGCGGGCTGCGGCCGACTGGCGACGAGGCGAGCGGCAGCGGCCGTCGGCCCGGTGCCGTGTCTGGTGACCAGGCTGTCGTTAGCTGGCCGGGCCCCGCCGGCCGGCGCCCCCGCCGTGCGCCCGCCGCCGTCGGACGGCAGTCAGCGCCCCTGCGTCTTCTTGCAGCGCTAGTAGTAAGCTGGGCCTGGCCTCCAGCCTGGCCTCGCACAACCTGCGCCGGGCCGAGCGTAGGTTCCGAAAACATATCGATACCATCACGCCCGAGCTGGACGGACTGATGAAGAGCTACAGGTGAGCCGCGCCGACAGCTGCTGAGCTACAGGTGAGTCACGCCGACAGCTGCTGAGCTGCAGGTGAGCTGCGCCAACGGCTGCTGAGCTGCGGGTGAGCTGCGCCAACAGCTGCTGATTTACAGGTGAGCTGCGCCAATGGGTTGATGAGGGTGTATAAGTTGTAGACAGCATTCACGCGGGATGGGGTATGGGGTGTGGTGGCCGTGGCCGCTTGCTCAATTTTGGATAGGAAGATAAATATTTTCGTTGTTGCAAATCGCAAACGGCTACCGTTATTATGTAACTTGGCGACGCGTACCACAATTGTTTTAGTATTGTCTTTCTTACGGACTGACAAGAACCTCAACATAAGCCATTCGCTCTTTTGTATTTACAGGCGATCAAGATTGGGAGTTAGACGGGCGGATGAACTCTTGGAATTAGTTAAGCAGATGCCTGGCTCATTTTACGTGTATGGTCCGTTAAGCTCACCAGACGTCCGTTTAGCTCATGCTAGTAAAATACTAAAGCTAAGCTAACTAGTGAAGGTAAGGAAGGCTTATGAAAGCTTATGCCTATGAAAAGTCTAACCGGAGCGATCTGGGGAAGTGTGCTTCATAGAATGGTAAGAAGCGGTAGGTGAGCGGGCCGGACCGCTGCAAGTTCTAGATGAGTCGAATCAGCGTAATGTATGGACGGGAAGGTAAGGGTCTGTGCCTCATCAATTGGTGGTGATGTTGGGACCATTGTCTTGGAAATGAACAGCTGGCCAATTTTTTGCATGTTTGTGTGCACGCTTCCAACGCTGTTTTGCGTGATTTGCGATGGTAACTTTAGATGCATCAGCAGCATGGTTGTTGATTGACCCATTTTCGGCTGGTAAAACGGCTTACTGACAGCATCGACTGGCCTGACGCCGTGTCTGACACTGACCAGAGGTGTACTGTCGGGCCTGTCGGCCCAAAACTGTGGCCGGCCGTGCGCTGTCGTCCGCCGACCTCGCCCCAGCCGCGCCTGACGCCTCGCGCCGCCGCAGCCCGGCCAGCCTGAAGAACCACGAGCTGCTCAAGTCGGGCGTCAGCTCCATCCGGTCGGCGGCCACCTCCGTGTACCGCAAGCTGGACGAGCTCAAGGAGGTGATGTCCAGCCAGAGTCCTGCGCTCACCAAGACCATGAGCCTGTGAGTGTGGCGGCGCCCGCCGATGCTCGGTCGCTTGGCTGGCTGGCGGCCGCGGCGGGGAGGGTGAGGGGGGCGGGGGGGGGGGGGGGGTCCGGCACCCGTGACCGGTCCGGGACCGGGCTGAGGCGTATGGTGCTGGCGGGAGGGGATCGGTGGGACACCGTCAGACCGCTGTGGCCGCGTCTCCGCTCGTGCGCTGCGTCTCGTGCGCGTCGTCGGGCCGGCGCCGCCGCCTACGCGGGCCGCGAGACGCGATCGGCGCGGCCGGCCGACCTCTCGTGTACATAGCCGTGAGCGCCGCCGTCGTGCTAACCGCCGCCTGTTCTCTGTCTCTCCCGTCGGTCCGCAGTCTTGGCACTAGCATGCCCTCGAATTTCCACTATCCAGCGTACAGGTACAAGTGAGGCCCGACGGGCGGCATGTGCGTTGGTGTGCGCCCCTCTCCACCACCTCCACGGGGCTTCGCTCCTTCTCGTCTGTCTATCGACGCCCTCCCTCACGGCCGCATGCACAGGGCAGGTGGACATCTGACTGCCCCTCTGTTCACTGGCTGTGCGACTCTTGGGTAGACGTTGCTGTTGCCCTTCTCTCTGGCGCTGGTGTAGTGTTGTGTCGTGTCGTGTCGTACTCGGGGGCACGCACCGGCTGCAACCGACGTGTCCGTGTTGTCGCGTGCATCTCCTGGCGTGTCATGGGTGATGGTAGTTACACTTTTCAAGCAGCTTGGCGAATGACATTTCGTGCTGCCTTTGGGACGTGTGAAATTTTTCGTTGGATAGTACCCTGTTGTTGTGTGGCATCCTTGGTTAACAGTATTTTGAGTGTATGTGACCCAGTACTGTAGTCAATACTTTCCACGCTCAGCTGAACAAGGAAGTGTTTGGTGGTCTTGACGCGGAGTAGACCCACAGTAAGCACGAGGTTCAGTACTGTTTGTATTAAAACGAATAGTTCAGCTGCTTGGGGCGTGCCTAGCCTGCCTGTCTTGGAATGTTGGAAATGCTGTAGTGGACCCGTAATGTAGTCTCGCACGCTTACTTCTATGAACATATATATTACTCCTTCCCACGTGGCTGCTGGTAGACATTGCACCCAGAGGTCATTTGGCCCTCATGTGACGGGATCGTAATAGATCAATGTGATATCAGTGGTAGTTGGGGATTTAGGACGCGCTCAGCTGCTGAGGCTGTGTGGCGTGGCCTGTCTCTCACCCTGGCGGAAGGGCGTGCGCCGCGAGGAATCGATCATGATTCCTCCAATTTCCGATAAGCGCGGCTCAACCATTGCACCATCGGTACCCAACATTAAAATATATGATGCCATAATAATCGAGCAGGCGCTGATTTACCCAGGGGGGGGGGGGGGGGGCGCACTCCGGTGCTTCAATGCTGCGTAAATGAGAGACCCGCTGTGACGTCACTGCTGCCGGGTCGTGAAGCAGAAGATACAAACGAACTGTGGCAAGTGCTGAGCGCCCGTTGTCAGTGATTTATATATATATATATATATATATATATATATATATATATATATATATATGTGGAAACTCCTAACTTTTAACTGTTGTAACGGATCGAGCATTAGTATTGAATAATTTTAGCACATTTGCAACCAGGCACGGGGCTAAATTCAATTTCCGATATTTTTGGCTATGTCTGTTGACGTAAGGTTCTAGATTATATGCACGCATAATTCGAACCATGTGGGCCATTGTGATGCAACTCTGAAAATGAAAGATGGCTTATAGTGTATTTGTGCTTCTTGCCGTATTACGAATATTGAACGCTTGAAACCATCTAGCCCGGTTTGCCTGCCAGCAAAAGGGGTTGCATTAATGCTGGGCCTCAGTGGCGTCATTTCAGGTTTTTGTGCAACAGTTGAGACACTGGAAGCGGTCCGCTGTGCCTTGTTTACAGACTCGAGTTGACCGACGTGGCATTCGCATGCCAAGCCACAAATCGCATTGTTCGTAGAATGGGCGGGTTGGGGCCAGGCCGGGCTTGGCGTTTCATTCAGTGAGGTTGATGGACTTAAAGTTATGCATATTTCGTATGGTTGCTGCGTTGGCACTGCAAATATTTGTCACAGCGAACCCCGCCAGACGTCTAATGTGTATCATTCATGGCCCAGTTCGCCTCGGCCTCAACCTGCCGAACCCGATACCGTTTTCGAAAAGGGGTCAAACTGACACTCCCCGGTCGCTTGCTGGCCTACGTGAGGAGATCGAGAAGGGGTGACATTGACACTCCCCGATCGATCTCCGGGCAGCGCGGAGATCTCCCATCGACCTATCATGCCAGAGAAGGACGGGTCCGTGGTTAACGCTCGGGTGAGACGAACGTGGTTTACGCTTGACACACGAGGGCTCGTGCCTCTGCCAGTGCGACTGCCCGCCGTCTGGTCCGTCAAGTGGTGTTAGTTTTGTGTCGCTGCTGTGCCGGATCGTGATCCGGGCCCAGCGTCTCCTGGTCCGGACGCGGTCTCTTGTGATCCGGACCCACTATCTCGTGATCCGGACTCGGTTTCAACCGTGTGGTGCGACTTTTTCCGGGGAAGCAAATTGTACGATCACCGTGCTGATGTTCCAGTTTGCACGCATATGTCGTAGAATTTGTAGAGCACAACTTTTGAAGAAATTCAGTTCTCGTTCTTGAAACTGTATTAAGCCGGGATCCGAGGTTGCACACACGAGTATATGAACTTCCCAAAGAGCAACGGCTTGACGGACCGGGTCGCGCTGCTCAAGGTCAAGTTTTCCACCGTTGTAGCAGCGCTCGGTCTCATTCGTGTTTAACTTTGTGTCATGCCGGGTCGGGTGTATAGTTGATGCTCTCTCAGTTTACAAGTCGAGTACCGGGTACACTACAACTGATTTCTTCGAACCCCTTCATATTCGTGTTTTCTTGTTTGTTCCTCGGGGCTAAACTTCGATTATTGAAAGTGAACTGTCGCTTTTGAATGAGGGAAACGACCACGGAGGACAGACAACAAAGCCGCCACTCTTCGAAGAGCGACCAGGCCTCTTCGTCGGTGGGACGGTCAGGTGTCATGTTTCTAGACGGCTGAGTTTCCTGGCCGAGCCTGACTATGTGGTGCTTGATGGCTGACCCGACCTGACCTGGTCTGACTTGCTTGACCGGCTGCAGGACCAGCATCGGCGAGGACGACGTGCTGGACGACATGCGCCACGCCGGCTCGGCCGAGGTCATACCGGGCTTCTCGGAGACCTGGTGCGACGGCCTCTTCAACGAGACCCAGTCCAGCTCCGGTGAGTGGCCGCTCATCGGCGGCGGCCGAGCCAGGGAGCGGCCGCCGGCCGCCGGCCGGGCGCGTGTCTCCGCGTGTCTCCGCGCATCTCCGCTCTCCCCTGACGCCGCACTCCTCCGTGACTGTTCAGCCCAGCACATATCCGGGCGCTACGTTTGGCGCACAAGCTGGTCGTGACCCCCAGAGAGGGCCGACGGCGCTGAGCCGGCGCTGATGCTGACTGGCCAGAGCTGACCCTGGTGCTGCTGACCCTGCGGAGCTGACGACGGTGCTGATCCTCGCAGTGCTGGCGCTTTTCCCCTCTGACGTCGGACCTAACGCTGAGGTGCCGTGTGACGCCAGAGCTGACGCTGGTGGCGCCGCTGCCACCGCCGCTGCCGCCGCCGCTGGAGCCAGTGGCCGTAGAGCTGGCCCTGACCTCGTGCAGCCGCTGCTACAAGTGCCAGGCCACCGTCTACGACGAGGACATCATGGCGGGCTGGTCGGCGGAGGAGAGCAACCTCAACTCAAAGTGAGTCGGCGGCCGCGACGGCCGGGCCGGGCAGAGATGTTCACTCCGGATGGGGGAACGGGGCTCCGACTGGTGTTGGCTCCATGTAGCAGTTTGTAGCAGCCAGAGGACAGCATTCCGCAGTTTCACGTTGAACGAGATCCAGTTAAACAGGCATGTCCTCGTTGTTACCGTTTTCCGAAGGTCTGATAGCTTTTTTGTGACGTGCAGTTATTTCGTGTGTCGCTTTGTGTGTCGTTTGCTGAAGTGGAGTTTGTCTCTTTACTTTAGTCTCCGTGCCGTTTGCTGGGCCATCGGCCGCCTGTCGAGGAGGCGGCCACCGGTGTGGTCTGTGCGTGACGCGGCGGCTGCTGCCCGCCAGGTGTCCGTTCTGCCGGAAGCCGTTCGTGCCGCTGCTGACGGTCCACATCCGCGACTTCCGCAACCTCAGTCGGCAGCAGCGGACGGCCGAGCTGCACCTGCCCGGCGACCCCAGCGGTCAGTAGCCCTCTCGCCCCGTGCCGTGGCCGCAGTCAGCGCAGAGCACGGGCGGAGTCCCGGGCGCGGGGTCGGGCCGGCGAGCGTGGGGTGGGCGGCCCAGCTCTGCCGGTGCTGCTGTTGGTGTTCACCGCTGCCGGTCGGGCCGGCCAGCCAACCGACTGCGCCTTAATGCCGATCTGCGGGCAGTCCATGTGATAACATGAGGTCGGAGCCGGCGACCAGGAGACGGACTGAGCACGATCGCCGACCTGCCCGTTGTGGAGCTCTGGATCTGCGGTGCGAAGTGAATGCACGGGTGTACGCTCGCGTGATGCCGTGTCCTGGCGCAGCCGGGGCGCCGCTGGACCCCATCACGCTGCCGTACCTGAGCCCGCTGGTGCTCAGGAAGGAGGTGGAGAACGTGATGGACCACGACGGCCACGGCTGCCTCTCGGCGCCCGCCTTCGTTGACCAGCACCCCATCATCTACTGGAACCTGGTGCGTGTCCGACGCCAGACGTACAGCTGGCGGGTCGGAACGTCAGGGGGTCTCGAATCCGATGCCAGGGTTCTCACCGTGACAACACTAACAGTGTCGTGAAAACATCGGGAGGTTCTGGAGCCGTGCTGTCACGAGCCGCACCCCGCCGACCCGCGCCGTGCCCACCTGCCGTGACCTCTCGCTCTGGCCTAGCCGCGATGTTCTCGCTGTGGGGAGTGTTACATGATGCGGCATGTCTTGATAGATTGTGGCCACTTTGTCTGGGACGCTTGCGCTATTTTGGGCCAGGCTCCGTGCGCCAGACGCTCGCTAGCATCTTGAGAGATGACTCGAGTTTGGTTAAAGACGGCCAGATTCTAAATTTCTTGGAGACACGCAATTCCATGCCATAGATCTGATGTAACCTTGTCTCCTTACTGTTACCACTCATTTTTGAATAAGAGGTCAGCTGTGGGCGCCACGTGGCCGGGGTGTCCGGCACGCTCTGAAGCCCAAATCATCATCACCGCCCTGTCCCAGGTGTGGTACATGCAGCGGATCAGCGCCCCCTCGCACCTGCCGGGCCTCTGTCTGCGCTGCCGGCTGCTGCTGGACCGCGGCGCGCCGGCCGACGACTGGCGGGACGTCACCTGGACCAGCGTGCTCGTCCGCTGCCTCTGGGACAACCCCAAGCTGCACGACGAGGTGGGACGCCGGGTCGCAGAGTCCGGAAGGCGTGTGGCCAGCTGGACCCACGCTCTGTCGCACCAAACGGGCGCGCGTCCGTCAGGGGCTTCTCGTGCCAAAGGGCGCGTGGATGATGGCTGTAAGATCCGTTTTAATCGTGCTTTTCACCTTGATAACTTATACGGATGAACGGTGTCAAGTAACCGCACACGGTAATGCCGATGACACCTTAATTCGTCGTTAAACCATCCAAAATTTTAGAGTGCACAAACAGATGACTCTTAGAAATCTTGGTGTGAAACGGACGGGGTGTTCCCCCTTGCCAGCACCGGTCGGCGGAGCGTCGCGGGACGGCCGCTCTGTGAGCGGTCGGTGTGACGTGGCAGCCCGCCGCCGTCACGTGACGGTGACGTGTGCTGCGCTTGGCCTCAGATCGTGCAGCCGATGTACGTGCAGTGGAAGGAGAACCCGCTGCGCTCGCCGCTGTTCGACGCCCTCGTCACCGACGACGTCGCCGTCTCCAAGACGTGAGTCGTGGCGGGAGTTCTCGGCCGCTGGGTCGCCGCCAATCGGGCCCGCGAGCTGCGGTGGGGCAGAGCACGACGGTCGATCCGGGAATACAGACGGGCCTTTCCTGTGCCCGTTCTGTCTATATACATGAGTCTTAACGAGTACGGCATTGCGCACGTGTGTTTTTGCATACTATTATTTTGATGTCAAAGTCAGTATTAGTCCTGGGTTCCCGTTGGTGGCCATTAGATTACGTTTGATTTGCAAATTTCTAGATGCGTTTATATGTTCGCCGAATGCGTGCGTTGCACTTCGTCGTAGTGCGGCATGTCGACGCACACTGTCGTGCGAGCTGTGGCTCCCGCTCTCCCGAACTCAGCCCTCCCCGCTATCGTCTCTCGCGTCTGAAATGGTCCTGTTCTGGGCGGTCCTCCGCGCGACGGCCGCGCGCGCGCCGCCCACCCGTGCGCCCGGCTGACGCGCCGTCCGTCCGCCGTCAGCACGATGCAGGCGGTGCTCTCGTGCGTCCAGTGCACCACGCTGGACGCGGCGCTCAGCACGCTCAGCGCCAACATCGGCGCGCGCCGCATGCGCGACAAGCACTTCTCCACCTACCGGGACATCATGTTCCTGGCGTTCTCGGCGCTCGGCCGAGAGAACATCGACCTCAGTGAGTCGGGGCCGCTGCCGGCCCGCTCCTGACCGCCTCAGACCGTGCCATGTCGGCTTTTGGGCGTAGCATTGACCAGGATCGCTCGATGCCATGAAATAGTGTAAAGCAATGCCTTAATTGGTTGTGAATGGTGGATGATGGCGAGCTATCAAAGGCGTTATCTAGCCTTAACGTAATTTATGACCGTGTTTACGTTGCTTTAACCGCCTGTGACCGGCGGCTTTGTTTTGCGTCAGACGATACCGGAGCAGATGTCACGGCCTCCCCTGACTTGGAGCTGTGCCGCTGGGATCCCGCTTGTAACCGCGTCCCGCCTGCCCGTGTTGCAGCGCTGTACGACCGGGAGTACCGGCGCGCATACGAGGAAACTCACGTCGGCGGACCTGCAGCACCTCAACGAGGCAGACCGGCCGCCGGCCGTCGCCGCGCTCCTTTGTCGCCGCTCTCTTCCGCGAGCTCGAGGCGTGAGCTCCGGAGGCGTGAGCTCCCCTCAGCCGTGAGCTCCCGGAGGCGTGAGCTCCCCTCAGACGGGAGCTCACCTCGAGACATGTGCTCTCGCTCAAGAGCTCGCGCCTCGTGAGCCCGGGAAGTGAACCCTCGAGGTGTGGCCGCCCAGCTCTCGCCGGAGGCGCGGGGGCCTCCTGCGCTCACCCGAGACGTGAGCAGGCCGTCCGTCGGTGAGCGGCGAGCTGGGCGCGAGGCAGCGCCGTGATCTGGCCGCAGGACGAGGCCGTCCACCTGAGCGTGTTCGGCGCGTCGTTAGTGCGTAGTTAGCCCGTCTCTTTCGCCGTTGATTGCCGCTGTTGCGTGTTTGCGGTGTGAAGCCGTCGCCCCGCGGCGGCACGCGGTAGCGCGCGGCCGGCCGGCGGGGCGCCGGTGTCGAGTGCCACTCGCGGACGCGCCGCGCCGGCCGGGCTCGCGGCTCGCGGCCGGCGGCGCGGTGCGGTGGTCCAGCCCGTCGCCGGCGCGCGCCTGCCGTGTCGGTTGTCGGACGGGCGGGCGCCGCCACACTGAGTTCTCCGTGTAGTGAGCTTATCATATCAGCCTGGTGGCGCGGGTGGACACGTTCCGGCCGGCGATGAGCGGCCTTGGACGGGCGGAGGTCGGACAGACATCGCCTCGCCCCGTCTCGCTCAGCAGCTGCACGCGTCCGCCGAGAGCCGACCGTTGCCGGCGGCGCTCGCGGTTCGGCCGCTATATTCCATGTTGACACGATGCTAGTCTTCAGGTGATAAGCGCGGGGTGCTGCAGCCTATTTTTGGGACAGTTTCTTATGTGGCCGGCGGTGGGTGTGCGGGCGCTTTACTTTTCGAGGCTTTGATATTAGCGACTTCGGTGTGTCGGCTCGGGGCGGCGCGCGCGCGCGCCATCGCCGCTGGTGTCAGCTGGGGCGGGCTGGCGCGGCCCGCTCAGTCTTCCACGCGTTGTGCCGCCCCCCCCCCCCCCCCCCTCTCCCGACCATGCCCGGGACGGTCGGTTGCGCTGGCTCTGGCCGCGAGGTGCCGTCCGTCGTTAGCTGGCGGTCGGCGCGAGCTGGCGCGGTCTCCGGCGCTGGCGGGGAGCGCGGCTGGGAGGAGGCCGACCGCCCAGCAGAGCGACGCTGCCCAGACGCCAGGACGCTCTGTCATGCCCCTCCCCCTCCCCCGCCGCGCTGCCCGCGGTAGTGTTCGCCGACGTGTTCGGGTGTGTTGACCGGTGTGTTCTGAACTCGGGTGCCCGTCGGACGAGAGCGCGGGAGCCGGCCGCCTGGCTGCGGGTGTGGTCCGGGCAGCGCCGCTGCTGCCGCGCGCCCCGGCACCGTGTCGTGCCAGACGGCTCGGCGCTGGGCGTGGCCTGCCAGAGGCGCGGTGTGGTGGCGCGCGCCGCTAGAGGGCTACGCTCCGACTGGCGGTGTTCATTTTCTAGTGGCAGCCTTTCTACCGGTGAGATATGGTGCAGTTATGGGCGGCTGTTTGGTTTGTACATGTTCAGTGTTCATGTATCATGCCAGCACAATGTAAGCTTAGTTAACCTCTACTGCAGCACCGAATATACAGATTGACATAACGAAGAAGAGTGTCTTCAGGTCTAAGCTGTGAAACTAGCTGCACATCTGGACAAACAGTTTTCCCCGTCATGAAATTATCGGCGACAAAATGCGAATCGGGAACATGGCAGAAATTGCGCTGGTCGGCAGCAAACAAGAGGGTGACGCCGTTCAGCCCGACTTCACCATCCACGAGCGCAGGCCATCTGAGGCCCGAGTTCGTCATCCACGAACGCAAGTCGATTTACGCCCCAATTCACCACCCACGAACGCAGGTCATCTGAAGCCTGAGTTCGTCATCCACGAGCGCAGGTCATCTGAAGCCCGAGTTCGTCATCCAGGAACGCAGGTCGTCTTTCTCCCCAATTCACCATCCACGAGCACAGGCCATCTGAAGCCCGAGTTCGTCATCCACGAACGCAGGCCATCTGAAGCCCGAGTTCGTCGTCCACGAACGCAGGCCATCTGAAGCTAGAGTTCGTCGTCCACGAACGCAGGTCGTCTTCCTCCCCAATTCACCATCCACGAGCGCAGTCCATCTGAAGCCCGAGTTCGTCATCCACGAGCGCAGGTCATCTGAAGCCCGAGTTCATCGTCCAGGAACGCAAGTCGTCCTCCTCCCTAATTCACCATCCACGAGCACAGGCCATCTGAAGCCCGAGTTCTCGTCATCCACGAACGCAGGCCATCTGAAGCCCGAGTTCGTCGTCCACGAACGCAGGCCATCTGAAGCCCGAGTTCGTCGTCCACGAACGCAGGTCGTCTTCCTCCCCAATTCACCATCCACGAGCATTCACCTTCTGAAGCCCGGTCACCTGCAGAAGTGCCACTGGTCTGCTCACGTCAGTCATTGGTCTTCCGACCTGCCGGTCCTCCGAAGGCGTTCGACGTCAGCGTCCACAACACTAACAGACACAAAAAACGTCCGCTCGAACACTTACCCGCCGATCTGTGTCGCGTATTGACTGCACCGAGTGCCCTGGTTCTTCTGAACGGGCTCTGCTGCTCGGTTACTGTCGTGATCTGATCACAGACCGAGCCGTGTGGCGGCCCGCCGGCGGCGCTAGGCCGGCTCCGTCCAGTGACAGCTGACCGAATCAGGGCGGCGCCTGCCGGCCGGTCGGCGCGGACCCCAGGCCGTGTGGATCAACAGCCCATGCGTCCGGCGTGCTCAGACCGCGAACAGAGGCTGGTGAATCGGTGATGGAATCAGATTCGCGATGGACCCTGGGTAAAGCCACAGCGGAGTCCAAAGTCTGACAAGCTTTTAACTGAGCTGGGATTGCTTCGTTTGAAAATTGGTGGGAGTCGTAACGGTTGACTCGGTAATTGGATCAACCCATCAACGACGCTGGAGTAGTCTATTTATCAGCTTCATTATGAATGTGCAAAACGTGTGTCCATCGGGATCTTTCCGACGCCTCGTCTTACTCGTTGGAATGGCCAAAATGCTAGCGGATGTCGCCGGTCGAAGTCGGGTAGGTGATCCGAGAATTCGTGACCGTAGAGATTTTCCTAAGTTGTTGGAGAGGCACGCGCCGTCGAGCCGCCCGTCTCTTGTATTGGCGCGGTTTCCTCTCTCATCCCGGCTATCCGCATCCGGCTTCCCGCCCCAACACGGACCTCACCATAGACGGATCAGGGTCACGTGACGGCAGAACGACGCACTGACGTCAGTTGGCAGCCTCCAGCAGAGCAGTCGGCGTCGGTCGGATCATACCACAGTAACAGAAGTCAGCTGATGATCGATACGATGTCCTGACATTCCCGATCGGGCCGGAATCGGACTGTACCGGATCGGATCGATCGGATCGGCTTGGACGGACCGGTTCGGCGACCTCAGTCAGGCTCTCTGGTGACCGGCCGCCGCCGCCGCCGTTTAGTCCTTGTGCACGGCGATCATGACCTTGATGCCGCGTCCCTCGAGCGCCGTCTGGAAGGCCTGCTCGCTCTGCTCCAGGCTGAAGCGGTGGGTGACGAGCGGGTCCAACCGAACCCGGCCCGACGCCACCAGGTCCAGCGCCGCCTGGTAACTGGGGCAAGTCAGGTCAGGTCAGGTCAGACAGCGCCGGCTGCAGCTGAGCAAGCTTCTGGGTTACTCAGATGCGGCGAGTGGCGGCTTGTAGGATCACAACAAAGAGTCTGTACTAAACTTAAATTGTTGGCACCCTGGAGCCGATCATGTCCGTCGCAACAATTTCACGATAGAGCTTCCCCTTCCTACTCTCGACGACTTGTGACGGCAATCATAGTCACAGCTGACAACGTCAGAACATGGAACTCAGACTAAGTGATTGCCACAGCGTGGACACGCAGAGAGTGCAGGGTCTCTGCAGAGCCACGAGTGGGCGCTACATGTCCGCGTGGTCGAAGCTTCTGAAAACCCTAATTTCTGCAACGGAGTAGCGAGAGCGAAATATACTTTTTGACTGAACGCTGCTCACGCCATCGCAAAACCAGTGACACGCGCCCCAATAACACTGCACAACACCCCGACAACACTATGCAACAGCCCGACAACACTATACAATACCCAGACAACACTGTACAACAGCCGGACAACACTGCATAACACCAGTGATACACTCACGCCCCGACAACACTGCACAACACAACTCTGGAGTTGGACTAGTGACACACGCCCCGACGGCACTGCGCAAGGCAACTCCGGAGTGGGGAAACGAGTGCAAAAGTTGCCCACGCAGCCGAGTGGGGTCGTCCTTACCTCCCGCCGTACTGATGCCCTCCCCCCCCCCCCCCACCCGTGGGTATGTCTCACCAGTTGGCGTAGCGGAAGATGCCGCAGATGTCCAGCTCCTTGGCCGTGAGCTGGACAATGGGCAGAGTGACGTCCGCAGGACCGCGACCCACCGTCACCATCCGGGCACGGGGCGCCGCCGCCTGACAACCGAGCCAACACACCGTCACCAGCCGGGCACGGGGCGCCGCCGCCTGATAACCGAGCCGACACACCGTCACCAGCCGGGCACGGGGCGCCGCCGCCTGACAACCGAGACAACACCGTCATTAGCCGGGCACGGGGCGCCGCCGCCTGATAACCGAGACAACACACCGTCACCAGCCGGGCACGGGGCGCCGCCGCCTGATAACCGAGCCGACACACCGTCGCCAGCCAGGCACGGGGCGCCGCCGCCTGACAACCGAGCCACACCGTCACCAGCCGGCACGGGGCGCCGCCGCCTGACAACCGAGACACACACGTCATCAGCCGGGCACGGGGCGCCCCGCCTGATAACCGAGCCAACACACCGTCGCCAGCCGGGCACGGGGCGCCGCCGCCTGATAACCGAGCCGACACACCGTCGCCAGCCAGGCACGGGGCGCCGCCGCCTGACAACCGAGACAACACACCGTCATTAGCCGGGCACGGGGCGCCGCCGCCTGATAACCGAGCCGACACACCGTCGCCCGCCGGGCACGGGGAGCCGCCGCCTGACAACCGAGCCGACACACCGTCGCCAGCCAGGCACGGGGCTCCGCCGCCTGACAACCGAGCCAACACATTGTCCTCCGTAATCGATTGCGAGGATGCATGTGCCTGCAGCATTTAAGCATGCTTAGTTGTGAGATGCGTTTGTAAGGTTTTAGGCCATACTGGGTC